ACTACCAAGAAAGCAGTGCTGGGAGCAAAGCGTGTCCTTTGGAACTGGGGTTCCTGCACAGAGAAGCTACTAGACGAGGGGAAGTTTGATGACAAGGACTTTCCCCCAGAGCTGACAGAGAAAGCCTTCCGCTGGAGCTGGCACCCTGAACTCGGACTTCTAGCCTACTAGAATGTGAGAGAATAAATTTCTGTTTGTTAAAGCCATATACTTGTGGTATTTCTGTTACAGCAGCACTAGATGACCAAGACAGAATTTAGTACCAAGAGAGTGAGTTGCTGCTCTGACAGATACCCAAAATGTGGAAGCTGTTTTGAAACTATGAATGGATAGAAGCTGGAAGAATTTTAAAATGCCTAATAGTAAAAGCCTAGATTGCCTTGAAGAGACCGTTGGTGGAATTGTGGACATCAACGACAATTCTGAGGACTCAGAAGGAAATGAGGAGAGCTGTTACACTGGATATGGCACTGATGGCAAGAAGCAGTAGCAGACAAATGACAACAGCAGAACCAGAAGACCAGCACAAGACAGTGCCGGACCCTACCAATGGAGCAAGAGAGCTGAGTGCCTTTCTGCAGGAGGCTCCCTGGCAGAGTGGGGTTCCTCCAAGCACTCATTGGTGGAGCTAGGCTTGCCAACCCATGGAGCAAGAGAGCTGAGTGCCTTCTGGCTGAATTTTACTGGCAGAGTGGTGTGCCTCCAGGCACTTATTGCTGGAGCTAAAGAGCTTTGGAACACTTGCCCCAGCAAAGCAGACGCGGGCGGTGATGTCCAAGGGGTGGAGAGGCCAAGGAACCAGGAAGCAGAAGCTGAAAAGACAAGGAAAACAGGAAGCAGTGCTGACTCCATCTCTAAGGGTGTATTTGCCACTCAAATGCACTAGGAGAATGGGACCGCCCAAAACCGAGGAAGCAGTTGCCCTTCCAGTGGGCCTGAAAGGCCGAGCTGAAGGCCAGGGCTGGGTGGCCTCCACTCAGAATCTGGAGAGTGTGGCCAACACCCAGAGTGTGGAGAGCAGTTTCATTGTGTAAATGGTCTCAGAGAACAGAGGATTATTTTCAAGCCTTGAGGGCTAATGTAATGTGTTCTCCTGACTTGTTTGGTGCCTGGTATCCCTTCTTTCCCTCCAGTTTCTCCCATTTGTAATGGAAGTGTCTAGCTTGCGCCTGCCTGTTGCGTCATTGTACTTTGGAAGCAGATAACTTGTATTCTAGATTTCACAGATGAAGAAGAATTTTTGGATTTTGGACTTGGAGTTGACTTAAGACTTTTGCTATGATATGATGGGATGAATATATTTTACATGTGGCAAGGACATGAATTTTGGGGGGGCCAAAGGGTGGAACGCGATGGATTGAATTGTGTCCCCCCCAAAATGTGTGTCAACTTGGCTAGACCGTGATTCTCCCAATATTGTGTGATGGTCCACCATTTTGTCATCTGATGTGATCTTCCTATGTGTTGTAAATCCTACCTCTATGATGTTATTGAGGTAGGATTAGTGGTAGTTATGTTAATGAGGGAGGACTCAGTCTACAAGATTAGGTTGTGTCTTAATCCAATCTCTTTTGAGATATAAAAGAGAGAAATGAGACATGGGGCTCACAGACCACCAAGAAAGCAGCACTAGGAGCAGAATGCATCCTTTGGACCCAGAGTTCCTGTGCAGAGAGGCTCCTAGACCAGGGGAAGATTGATGACAAGGAACTTCCCCCAGAGCCAACAGAGAGAAAAAGCCTTTCCCCTAGAGTTGGCACCCTGAATTCGGACTTCTAGCCTACTAGACTGTGAGAGAATAAACTTCTGTTTGTTAAAGCCATCTACTTTTGGTATTTCTGTTATAGAAGCACTAAATAACCAAGATAGAAACCAACTGATTTTTGTATGTTTATCTTGCAGCCTGCTACTCTGCTGAATCTATTAGTTCCAGTAGTTTTCTTTTAGAGTCGTTTGGGTTCTCTATATATAGTATCATATCATCTGCAGATAGGGATAGTTTTACTCCTTCCTTACCAGTTTGGATACCCTTTATTTCTGTTTCTTGCCTTATTGCTCTAGCTAGGGCTTCCAGCCCAATGTTAAATAAGAGTGGTGTTAAAGGGCATTGTTCCTGTTCTTGTTCCTATTCTCAAGGGGAATGTTTTCAGCCTCTCTTCATTAAGAATGATGTTGGCTGTTGGTTTAATATAGAGGTCCTTTATTATGTTGAGGAATTTCCTCTCTATAAGTATTTTATTGAAAATTTTTATCAGAAATGTATGTTGGACTTTATCGAATCCCTTTTCTGCATCAGTTTATATGGTAGATTATGTTGATTCTTTAATGTTGAACCATCCTTACATACCTGGTATGAATTCCATTTGGTTGTGCTGTATTTTTTTTTTTTTTTTGATATGATGCTGAATGCTATTGGCTATAATTTTGTTGAGAATTTTTGCATCTATATTCATGAGAGATATTCGTCTGTAATTTTTTTTTTTTTTTTTTTGGTGGTATCTTTGTCTGGTTTTTGTATCAGGGCCAAAGCTGTAATTTTTATAGAAGCCAATTGCCATGTCTTTCTCCCACAGAGCGGCTGGTGGATTCAAACTGCTGACCTTTTGGTTAGCAGCCAAGCGCTTAACCACTGCGCCACAAAGGTTTCTCCTCCTCCTACTACTATAGTTAGGTAGCATCTTACTATTGGGGGAAAATGGGTGAAGGACACATGAGACCTCTCCATATTCTTTTTGCAACTTCCTTTGAATCTTTAATTATTTCAAAGTACAAAGTTAAAAAAAAATTAGCAATGAAAGTTGGGTTAGAAGGTAGGAATGTTCTTATGTCTACATTGTTAAATTCCTTTCCAAAAAGAGATTATGCCAATTTAAATTGTTACCCAAATTAGAGAGTATACCAACATCGGTACATTGTTATCAACATTAAATATTGCCATTTGTCTTAGTTTCCTAGTGCTGCTATAACAAAAATAACACAAGTGGATGGCTTTAAGAAACAGTTTTTTCCTCACAGTAATAGTAGGCTAAAAGTCCAAATTCAGGGCATCAGCTCCAGGAGAAGGCTTTCCCTCTCTGTTAGCCTTCTCTTCAATGTTCCCTCAGACTAGGAGTTTCTTCGTGCAGGGACCCTGGGTCCAAAGGACACGCTCTGCTCCTGGCACTGCTTTCTTGGTGGTATGAGGTCCCCCATCTCTCCGCTCACTTCTCTCTTTTATATCTCAAGAGATTGCCTCAAGACACAATCCAGTCATGTAGATTAAGTCCTGCCTCACTAACACAACTGCCACCCATTCTCCCTCATTAACATCATAGAGGCAGGATTTACAACATGTAGGAAAATCACACAATACCTGGAATCTCAGCCCAGCCAAACTGCTACACACATTTTTGGGGGGACATAATTCAATCCATGACATTTCACTCTTTGGCCTCCAAAAAATCACATCCTTGCAACATGTAAAACATATTCACCCCATCATATCATAGCAAAAGTCTTAACTCCAAGTCCAAAATCCAAAAATTCCTCTTCATCTATAAAATCTAGAATACAAGTTATCTGCTTCCAAAGGTACGATGGCAGAATAAGCACAAGCTAGGCATTTCCATTAAATGGGAGAAACTGGAGGAAAAGAAGGGATAACAGGCACCGAGCAAGTCAGCAGAACACATTACATTAGCCCTCAAGGCTTTGAAAATAATCTTCTGTTCTCTGAGACGATTTATACAATGGCCCTGCCTTCCAGACTCTAGGTATTGGCCACACTCTCCTGATTCTGAGTGGAGGCCCCTCTGCCCTGGGCTTCAGCTCCGCCTTCCAGTCACACTGGAACAGCAACTCTACTCTCTTGGCTTTAGGCGCACCATTCTTAGTCCATCTGAGTGGCACCTCCACCCTTAGAAACACCAGAGGCCATGGCTCCACCCTTTGAAACCCCTGAGATCATGGCCATACCTTTTGAGACTGAGGCCATTCGGCTTCTTGTGTTCCTTGTCTCTTCAGCTTCTGCTTCCTGTGGCCTGTCCGTGTTCGGGCTTCACGCCCACATTTGCCCTGCTGGGGCAAGGGTTCCAAAGCTCTGTAGCTCCACCGATAACTGCCTCGAGGCACCCTACTCGACCAGGAAGCGTCCTGCACACAGGCACTCATCTCCCTTGCTCTGTGGGTCGGCAAGCCTAGTTCCACCAATAGCTGTCCGGAGGCACCCCGCTCCACCAAGAAGCCTCCTGCTCACAGGCATTCAGCTTTCTCGCTCCGTGGGTCAGCTCCAGCACCGTCTCTCGCTGGTCTCCTGGTTCTGCTACCGCTGGTTCTCTGCCGCTGCCACTTCTCTGCTGGTGCAGGTTCTCTGCTACTGCTTGTCCTCTGCCGCTGTCACTGCTCTATCCGTTCACAGTATCAAAGCTACTTCTACATTTTAGGTATCTGTTAGAGCAGCACCCCGTTCTCTTGGACCAAACTCTATCTTAATTTTCTAGTGCTGCTATAACAGAGATACCACACGTGGATGGCTTTAACAAAGAGAAGTTTATTTCCTCACAGTAAAGCAGGCTAAAAGTCCAAATTCAGGGCGTCAGCTCCAGGGGAAGGCTCTCTCTCTGTCAGCCTTCTCATCAATGTTCCCCCAGACTAGGAGCTTCTTCGCACAGGGACCTCAGGTCCAAAGAACACGCTCTGCTCCCGGCACTGCTTTCTTGGTGGTATGTGGTCCCCCTGTCTCTCGGCTCACTTCTGTCTTTTATATCTCAAGAGATTGCCTCAAGACACAATCCAGTCTTGTAGATTGAGTCCTGCCTTACTAACACAACTGCCACGCATCCTCCCTCATTAATATCATAGAGGCAGGATTTATAGCATATAGGAAAATCACACAATATTGGGAATCATGGCCCAGCCAAATTGATACACACATTTTTTGGGGGACATGATTCAATCCATGACACCATTATTTTGATTTGCTTGTTTTATCTGTTTACTGTTATTCTGGCCATCTGTTTCCTATACTGAGGGATTATAAGCTAGCCAAAATACTGACAAATGATTTAGATGCCATGACCCTTTTGATATACATATAAAGAAAATTTTCTCAATTCAGCCAAAAAATTAAAACCCTGTACACAGATGTTCATAGTACCTTTATTCATAATAGCGAAAAACTGTAATCAATGTAAATGTCCTTCAGTGGGTGAATGTTTAAATTGTGGTACATCCATACAACTGTTGATGACTGCAACAACTTAGATGGATAGCAAGTGTATTATGCTGAGAGATTTTTAAAAAAGCCAATCTCAAAAGGTTGTATACCATATGATTCAATTTATATAACATTTTGTAAATGACAGAACTATAGAGATGTAGAACAAATTAGTAGTTGCCAAGAGATAGGGGTAGGTGTGAGTGAGTGTGACTATAAAGGCATAGCACAAAGGGGTTCCTTGATGGTAATTGAATGGTTCTGTATCTTGATTGTGGTGGTGGTTACATGAATCTTTACCTGGGGTAAAATTGCATAGAACCAAACACAGACACACATGCACAAATGAGTACGTATAAAAACTGGTGACATTTGAACAAGACTTGTAATCTCATTAATAATATTGCACGGCTGTCCATTTCCTGGTTTTGATATTCTGCTGATTAGGTAAAATTTTACTATGTGGGGAGCTGAGGAGGAGGGCACACAACACTGTTCTATTTTTGCAACTTCCTGTGAGTTTACAATTCCTTCAAAATAAAAAAAAGTAATTAATTTTAAAAATCATGTTCTCTCATTCCCCCTACTCATATATTGTTTCAACCAAGGACAATGTGCATCTTTCCATTTATCATTTATTTAGGTCTCATCTCGAGCATTCACCTTTCCTCATTTATCTTCAGGTTATAGGTTATGAAATGAGTGACTCCAATGATGATGATATCCCCCAGCTTTCTTCCCACACCTTAGCAGCTCTCCAGGAATTTTATGCTGGGCAGAAGCAACAAACTGACCCAGGAGGGGATAATAAATACAGCATTGGAATAATAGAAGAGAACTGGGTAAGTAAATGCATTCCAGATCTCTCAGAAAGTATTGTCACGGTACCTGTTCTGTACCTAGTCCAGTGTTTGTCTGCATCCTAACTAACTAAAGCCGACATCACCTATCACTCAGGAACTGATACTTTCTTCTGGGAGCTAAGAAAGAAAGCAGCCCAGGAACATTTTAAGACAGATTAAATGCAGAGTTTCCTGGCTCTGACTGCCAGGCTGGCTGGAGATCAGAGGAGGCTTTTCATTTAGGGGAACACTGTATCATTCTGTCCCACACAACTGCATGCTCTGTTCTTGTGCACAGGGTGCTCCGTTGGTTTTTATGGAGCCCAGCGTACCTTGTGGGGAGAAATATACCATTGCAGTAAATGAGGCAACTGAAACTAATCATGCAGTGAACAATTGGTGAGAGACAGTTTTTAAGAAGATACTAATAGTTTCCAGTATGTGCATAATATGTACTTTAACTGTATTTTTATAGTCCAAATAAAAATAAGAGGTAGAAGAGAAGAAAAATGAGTTGAAGGAAACTCCTAATCCAGGCTGGAACCTTCTTTGGCATGACAAATACATAGGTGGCATGTGTTCTTTGATGAGGAGAAACATTTGTTTCAAAGGTGGTCTCATTTTGTGATGTTAGCAATCACTGATACTCAATGCCTAGATTCCATCCATTTATTAGGGGCTTGTATTAATTTAAGATAATTAAAAATCAGTTTTAAAAAGAAAAGCTTAAAACATGTATCTATACACACTGGTATGGCAGGTATAAATTAAAAGAACAAAGTTTATGACAACTCTAAAATGATTTCTAAACCCATTCCTCTGCTCCAGCAATTGAGCCAGTTTTGGTATAGTCAGGAAACTGCTTTTCGGCTTGCAGAGGAAGTGATTGCAGTCGCTGGAGAAGGTGGCAGGTGAGATTCAAAGTTTTGTGTTTTTCTTTTTGTATCCTAATCTAAAGTAATATTTTAAATATCCTTCCTAGATGAGAGTACTGTATCTGCAAAAATTGTACTTCATGGTTTGCAGCATAAGAGAAATTAAGAACTGCTTCAATACTGAATTTAGGGATACACTCAGAAGTCTATTCATTGTAAGATTTATCTGTATTCTCTAACATTTTCTAACCTGTTTCTTATCTTTATACCTCTAGAGTTTGCTTTAAAAGAGAAGTCTTAATGTTTTACCTTTTTGAAGTTTTAAGAATACAGGTTTTCTTTTTATGTTCATTTGGTTTTTATTTTTATCAAAACTTTGCATGCATAAATTCAGCACCACTCCAAAGTATATATCCAAAAGAATTGAAAGCAGGAATGCAAACAGATACTTAACACCAATGTTCACTGCAACATTATTCACAATAGCAAAAGATAGAAACAGCTTAAATGTCCATCAACAGATGAATGGATAAATTGTGGTACAAACATACAATGGATTATTACTCAGCTATAAAGCAAAATGAGGTCCTCATACATGCTACTACATGGATGAACCTTGAAAACATCATGCTGAGTAAAACGCCGGTCATAAAAGGACAAATATTGTATGATCTCATTTATATGAAATATCTAGAAAAGGCAAATATATAGAGACCAAAGCTTATTAGTGGTTACCAGGGGTGAGAGGGAGGGGGAAAAGGGAGAGTTATTGCTTGAGGAGCCCTTAGCTATTAAGGGTGATGGAAAAATTTGGAAAAGGATAGTGGTGATGGTTGTACAACATGATGAACATAATTAATGTCACTGTATCGTACATGGAAAAAATGTTGAAATGGCAAGTGTATTGTTATATATATATCCTTACCACAATAAATAAGGAAAAACTTTGCATGTGTGTAATTTAAAGAGTATAACTGAAATGGTTCTAAAAGGCTTGTTTAAAAAAAAAAAAAAATGCTAATTTCCTCCCTTTCCCGCACTGCCCACCTTCTCCACCTTGAGCTCTGTTTTAATTGATTCTTCTGGTATTTACAGCCTTTTGGTATTTCTAAATAACATGCTTATATTGCCACTTGCTGTCTGTCATTCTCCCCTGGCTACCACATATGTGCATATTTCTGTCCGTGCTACCAACAGAGTTATGTCCTGATTTGGTTAGAATAGGGTTTATATTGTTATGACTACATAAATGTTCTTTACAGCTGGGCTTTTTACTTTTCCTCTTCTGTATAATTTTTTATGTTCCCTGAAGTAAATAATTGTCTTATTTTTTATGCATTTCTACCTACATGTCACTAATTAGCTCTCGTATGCTCTCCCATTGTCTAAATCTCCAGTCAATAAGTTCACACATATTTCAACTTCTTGAAGAAAATTACTGAGTCCTAGAGCTTTGCAGCCTGTTGCAATCTGGACCAGGTGCTAATCCAGATCACCATCATGCTGAGGATTCCTTGTACCCCTCTTTTCTTTTGGACTCCCTGTTGCCTGTATCCCAGATCTTCTTTTTTCTTAGTGTACGACCTTATTTTGCTGGGGGCACATCCTTCAATAGCTACCAGAGAAAAGGTGCATGGGAGGGAAATTTTGAAACTTTTCATGTCTGAAAATGTCTTTATTCTACCCTCACTTTTGATTGTGATAGTTTGGATATGTAATTCTAGGTTGGGAATAATAGCTTCTGTTTCCCTGAACCACTGTATTTTGAAGGCATCATCCCATTGTCTCCGGGCTTCCATCGGTGTTGTTGAGAAATCCAATGCTATTCTGATGTTTTGCAGGAAACCTGTTTTTTTTTCCCCCATCCCTGCCCACTGCACGCTTAGTATTTTCTCTTTAGTCCCAGAGTCCGAGGTATCTTGGTGCGGAGCTTTCACGTATGATACTACATTCTAGGGTCCCTTTCATTCTCACAACTCATTTCCTTCCGTTGGGGAAAATTATCTCAAATTATTTCTTTGATTTCTTCTCCTCTGTTTTTTCTGCTCCTTCTTCTGGAACTCCTATTGTTTGACTGTTGGACCTCATCTAATTTTCTTTCCTTTTTCTATCTGTTATCTTTTTTACCCTACTTTCTTGGAGAATTCCTCAACTTAATCCTCTAAACTTTTTACTGAGTTTACCATTTTTGCTACCATAGTCTTAATTGTCTATAACTCTTTTTTGCTGTCTGAATATTCCTTTATAATTGTATCTTGTTCTTTCTGGGGATACTAATTTTACAGTTTTTTTTAAGTTTTCATCTCCTTACGTAGTCTTTGTTTATTCCAGTGTGCTGTTGTTCATTTTGGCTTCTAATATTAGATGCTTCCCCTGAATGACTGTGGATCCTTGGCTGTCTGCTCTTATCTAAGGTTAGGCACCCAAAATCTGGAAGCTTTGACACATGGGTGGACCTTGTTTACTTTGGGCCTTACTGCCAGCTGATCTGGGTGAGCTATTTCCTAGGGAACCCCCAGTGTCAATATCTTCAAGTCTTTTTTTGTGGGCTAGTCAGAACTCCAGGGAAGATTCTTCTAATTCCTGCCTGGAAGTTATGCATCTGATACCATCTTGGGAAGCACATTACTGAAAGAAGGCTGAGGTCTCTGCATCTAATGTACGTGAAGTACCTCTTGGTCACCTGTGCCTGGCATCCCCCCTCTGGGCATCCCCAGTCAGAGAATAGTCCTCTAGTTTTCTGCTAGTCATGGAGGGCCAGACACCTGGAGGCTTGGGACAGGGAAGAGAATCCTGGGATCTAATTGTTTCTTACATAGACCTTTCAAGTAATTCTGTTTTTAGCCCCACTTTCACCCCCACTTCTTGAGTTACCTGGTTCTGGGGGGTGCTGAGAGTAAACCGGGTTGCTTCTCAGCTTTCCTGGTCACCAGTTTAGGACCTGGCTTTCTTGGGTCTGCTCAGTTGATTACCACCCATCCATTTGCTTTTTAGCTTCCTAAATGTTGTTTCATTAGCCTCTTCACTCATCCTCTTGTCTCTCGGAGGTTTATGTCGAAACAGTAAAATGAAACAAAACTTTATCCATGTTTTATTTAGTAGGGTTTCATAAGGGAGCAAATCTAAATGAATGTGTTGAATCTGCCATCTTTAACTGGAAGCCCTAGGCTTTTACTAACAACATTGTTTTTACATTTACTTTCTTTTTTCCATTAATATGAGGGCCTTGGAAGCAACTTTTCATTTTTTCTGAAGAGCAACTTCAGTTATTTTGAGGAGCTGAGTAATAATTTTAAAGATGAATATAATAAGTAATATTTATTGAGTACTGACTGCGCCATATACTGTTATGAGTGTCACCTCATTTAATCCTCATGTCTCTGTGAGGTACTTATTATTATACTCTCTATTCTTAAGATAAAGACACTGCGGACAGAGAAATTAGGTAACTTGCTAAAGGTTACGCAGCAAGTAAATGACAGAGCTGGGATTTGAACCCAGGTGCTCTGATTCCAAACTACATAATAAACTACTGGCTGCACTTAATTTGCTGCTTTCTCTGCTCTCATTCCTTCTTGCATCTCAGACCATTTTCATTCTGCCTGAAGCACATTCTTTACAATTTTTTAGAAAAGATCTGCAGGTGGCAAACTCAGATTTTTGTCTGAAAATATATTTCACCCTCTTTCTTGGCAATTATTTTCATTGGGTATATAATTCTCAGCTGCTGGTTGTTACCTTTCAGTACACTGAAGATATAATCCCCTTCCCTCTACTCCCACCCTGACCCATCCTGGAGCTGGGGCCAGTCTGGGGGCAGTGGGAGAGCTGCGTTCCTGCATCCCAAACTGCAGCAGCATGTTACGTGAAGTCGACAGGCTTTATTAAATGCTTCAAGTGTATTTGGGCTGAGTGGCCTTTGTAGCCTGGCATGGGTACCTAACCACTGTGTGTGACATTGTCTCTGCTAAGACACGCTTCTCACATGTTTCAGGCTGAGTTTAATTCTAAAATTAGCTATGTTTTTGAATGATAACATATGAACATGATAAAAATTTCAAAAGTGACAAAGGGAATTGAGAAAAGTCAGTCAGTCTCCCTTTCGACTTTGTCCAGGTCCCCAGTTCCCCTCCCAGGCAGCCACGGTTCCAGCTCTGCATCCCCTAGAGATGCCTGTGTGTGCACAAGCACCTATTTTTATACACATGAAAGCATGTATACACTGTTCTGTCCCTTTCTTTTTTCACTTAGTGATATGTCTTGGAGGGCTGCTTCAGTCTGTTTAAAATGGCTACATGGTATTCCATTGTACCTAGTGTACCAAAGTTAACTCAGTACCTCAATATTTAGGTTGCTTCTAGCTTTTTCAGCAGCTGATTTAAAAAGTTAACTTTTGGAACACTACCCACTCATAAAGTGGGGGCTGCCAGTAATGAAATAGGTTCTTTAATCTCCTTATACAAAAAAGCAGCAGAAATTCAAAGTGGCTTGTCTGCACTGAAGCACCATAAACACGGTGAGTCCCTATTTTAGTGTATCTTTTTGGAAACCTGGGGTTTTTCTTTCAAGATCGTGAATATTACAAAATGACTTCAAAATATTTAGTTTGGGACTAAAAATATTTGAAATAAACATTGAAGGATCAACATGAAAATAATAGGTAAATTTAGGCTTTGGGCTGTCTACCTTTATATAGTTTGTTATAATATGTTCCTGATGTTTTACCTTATTTGCTACAAAAAGCATATTTATACTTTCATACCTCAGAATTATGAGTTGCAGGTTTTTAAATATCAAATCCCTTAAAGTGAGGCAGTGCAAAGATTTTCTCAAAATTTACTGCTATTAGTTTCCACTATTTTTTCCGTTAAGAAAATAAAAGCATAAATCTGAACACAAGGACTTATTTTTTTTTTAGTGAAGTAATTGTTACTTAACACCATAAGCTACCTATTAAAGCCCTTTGATGAATTTGTTCATTTTGTGTTTTAGAATAGCATGTGTGAGTGCCCCCAGTGTTTACCAGAAACTGAGAGAGCTACACAGAGAAGACTTTTCTATATGCATCTTTGAATATGACAAAAGATTTGCTATATACGGAGAGGAGTTTATCTTCTACAATTACAATAATCCACTGGATTTACCTGAGAAGATTGCTGCACATAGTTTTGATGTTGTGATAGCAGATCCTCCTTATCTTTCTGAGGAGTGTCTCAGAAAAATGTCAGAAACCATCAAGTATCTGACTCAGGGCAAGATTCTGCTGTGCACAGGTGGGTGCCAGATTTCACTTCTCACAAAATGGGTGACAGTGGATATTCAAGTCCTAGGATTCAAAAGTTGGAAGAGATGTTAGAGCTCCAATCCTGAATCCACCACTTACTGTGTAACCTTAAACAAGTTATTTAACCTCTGTGTACCCTAGTTTTCTTGTCTGTAAGCAGGAATTAATACTACTACCTGCCTTATAGGGTTGCTAGGAATTAACAAAGGGTCTGGCACAGTGTAAGTGCTCAATAAGTGTTAGCCATGGCTATTTATTTAGTATTATGTGATCCAATCTTTGCACTTGATAAAACAAATTTAGAATCTAGAGAGTTAAAGTGAATTGCCTATGGTTATATAGCTAGAAATTAGATTAAGCTTTTTAAATTAGAAGAGTTTTCTTACTTGTAAAATTGATACATTTTCCTAAGATGGGTATACTAAAATTTAAAACTATAGTGTTAACAACAAAGCACCCACCAGTCGTTTTACTTCCAGGCATGCCATGGTATCTGTGATATTCCCCACTTCCTAAAGGCCCAGTCTCTCAGAGTCCTGCTTCCTCCTCTGAGAAAGCCCACCCACAGGCTGTGACCAGGAGGTGAGCAGCTGTGACTGGGAGTGCAGGCCTCTGCTCTCCTTTGGCATTGTGGTATTGCTTGTGTAGTCAAAAACGCCACTCTGTGTCATATAAATAGAATTTATTTAGTGCTTACTAATTCAACAACTTTTTACACACCCTTTGTGCCAGCTAAGCTACAATGCTCTGACCTCATGGAGTTTACATTTTAGTTTTAGGGGATAGGTTAAAAATATAAGGAAGCAGACCAAAGGAAGGAATTACTACTTTTGATAAGTGTAATGAAAAATCCAAAAAGGTGGGGACCTGGTACAGAGAGTAGTGAGGGGTGTACTGCAGCTGGGATGTGGAGGGGATGCATTTGAGGAAGTGGGAAGTGCGTTCAGTGGAGACCTCAGGATGAGGCGTGGGCCACGCACCTGGAGGGCGCACACCACCCTGAGGTAAGAGAAGAGACAAGCTCAACTAGAGTCTGGTGGGCAGAGTTCATGGCAATGGCAGGGGTGGGGCGGGTTTGAAGTTAACAGTAGGGAGTTTGGATTTTCTTTTAAAGCTTTTAGCTCAAAGTGGCACAACCCAGTTGGTCTTAAGAAAATCACTTTTACTTTGTACCAAATATGGATTTACAGCACAAGTGGGGAAGGCCAGGCGTGAGGCCCTTGGAGTCAGATGATGTGGTCGTGGTCAGGACCGAGATTGCGGCCGTGGATAAGGAGAGGAGGGAATGGAGTCAGAGTATGTTTTGGAGCCAAAACTGAAAGAACTTGCTGTAGTTTGGAAGTTGAGGGGAGAGAAAGGGGAGGAATCGAGGATGTGCCTGGCCTGTGCCACAGCGAGGCTGATGAGTGGGGACCACGGGGAGATGGCGAGGCTGATGGGAGACTCCAGGTTCCTGGCCTGTGCCTAAGCAAGGCTGATGAGGAAGGGACCATAGAAGGGGGGCTGAGGAGGGAAGTGGATTGGAATAGGAATCAGGAGCTCTGCACTGGATAAGTGAAGCTTCGGGTGTTTTGGCTTCTCAGTGGCAGTGTACCATAGGCAGTCCGGGGAGAAGACTGGGCTGGAGAGGAAAATTTGGTTTGGTATTAATATCTTTATAGAGTTTGCAAGTTTACATATTATTGAAAAAGGCTTTCTTGACTGAAAAAGCTAGAAAATAGTCGTTAGTAATTGTTTTTGCTTTCCTTAACTTCTTTAGGTTACTTTGTGAAATGTAATCTGTTTCTAAATTTCTAAATGTTTTAGCTTTGCAGAGGTAGAAAAATAATTAAATTTCACATTATGAAATGGAAAAAAGACATAACTAGGTAATTTGCAAAAAGATTTGAGAAGGCAGAAGGAATATAAAGAATGAATGACCCCAGCCCTTATTTGTTGGCTAGTGCTGTTGACTCACTGTTCAGTGTAGAGAGCCCTCCACACCTCGGCCATTTCACATCTTCAGATTCATTTAGCTTTTTCTCTTCAGGTGCCATCATGGAAGAAGCAGCAGCAAAACTTCTTGGAGTGAAGATGTGCAAGTTCATTCCAAAACATACCCGAAATTTGGCAAATGAGTTTCGCTGTTATGTGAATTATGATTCGGGGCTTGACTCTGAAATCTAGCTACTTTCTCATCAGTAGATTGAAAAGTTATAACCTACCCCCCCAAACTGGGGCCTAATTTTCAAAATAAAGAAGACAACATCTCATTAGTGTTTCTTTATTGAGGGTTCCTGTAGAGCTTACAGTTCATTTGTCAACCTGAATCCATGGAATAAGAGTTGGCTGAAATCTTAGAGCTCATCTAATCCTGTCTCCTTACTTGACGTATGTAAAAAAAAGAAACACAAACAGTGACTTGGCAAAGACCTCCTGAATTAGACCAGACCCTGGCTTCTGCATCGGCAGCACAGTCTCTTAAATGGGCTCATTCTGACCGTCCAGGAGCAGCTGGTGCTTTCCCCAAGGAGACATGGCTTGCTGCCGCCATGAAATAATCCTGGGAACCGGCATCAGGAGTGATGACAGGGACGGAGCCCCAGTGCCCTCTGTTGTGGCTCAGCCTCAATGTCCTCAACTCTGGCCACACCAAATGCTCTGAGCTGCCACATGAAAGCACCCTTTGTGACCAGCTCCATTACACGAAGGGGTCAGGGAGTGTGGTAGTCATCAAACACCCACACCATGGCCTACTGCTTAGCAGTCGACAGGGGTGGACCATGGCTACATGCAACAACTTGGATGGGTCTCAGAGCATTATGTTGGGTTGAAAAAGCCAATCTCAAAAGGCCACATACTGCCTGATTCCATTTATGTAACATTCTCAAAATGACAGAATTACAGAAACGGAGAACAGATGAGTGGCTGGCAGAAGCTAGGGATGGGATGGGGGATGGGAAGGCAGGTATGATCATAAAAGGGAATTCTTTGTGGTGATGGAACAGTTCTAGGTCTTGATTGTGGTGACAAAATTGCATGGAACCATACACACAAATAGGTAAAACTGGTAAAATCTGAGTAAGGTCTGCGGTTTGTACGAACATCAAGTTCCTGGTTGTGATATTGCACTACAGTTATGTAACATGGTACCACTGGGGGGACTGGATAAAGGGTACACAAAACCTCTCTGTAGTACTTTTGCAATTTCCTGTGGATCTACAACTATTTCAAAATAAAAAGTTAAAAAAATCACCCACTCTCTAGGAAAGGATTATACTTCCCTACCTCTGTGACTTGCTTTGGAAGACAAAATGTGAAAGGGCATGGCATGTATCACTTAAACCTGAGCCATATTTTCCCCCTGGCATAATGAGCAGCACACTTCCAGGCTGTCCAGGTCTTAGAGCCGGGCAGAGCCACAGCTAGCCTGCAGTGGAGGCACTGAGGGAGAGAGAAAGAAACCCTTGTGGTTCAAAGTCAGACTGGGATCGATACTGAGGGATACAGAGAGGGAGGGGCTGTGGGATCAATATACTGGGGGATACAGAGAGGGAGAGACTGTGGGATCGGTACTGAGAGATACAGAGGAGAAAGATGCATCAGATCAACTGCCACTCATGAATAGTGGTTCAAGTTGCCCGGCATTATCCTCTGGTTTGTTACTGTTGTTTCTCAGACCTCAGGTGTCATGGATAATTTTTAGATAATTTACTCTCAAAAATCCCTTTGTGTTTTTATGAGGCATTGGTATTTGTATCAGTGCACCTAGCATGAACAGCAGCATACCAGCCCCTGACACATTACATATTCAATAAATTTTTGTTTTAAAAAAAGACCCCAGTTTATTATTTCCTTATGAACTGGTTTGCTAAAAATTACCTAGGGCAGTATCAAATTTTAGTGACAAATCATGTATAGAAATGTAATGTTTAATTTAGGAATTCTGGGAGAGTAACAGTCTAGAAATAACAGAATTTTAGCTGTCCTATAAATCTAGCATTTAGATGAAGAAACCGTATTGTTCTGTGGCAGGGGGCAGGGGATGAGGAAACGAAGGGGTGAGGCTTTACTCATCCTAAAAATTTACACAAGTCTTAAGTTATTAAGTCTTACAAAATGAGGTAATTACAGATTTGTTTAATAAGCAGCCAGCATGTTTTATTGCCTTGGACCCCTTATGTGACTTCAATTTTAGCAAATCTGTATTCATATATGGGACCTTTAAAAAGATCACTGCCTCTGGTGTGTTCCTTGGTGCCTTCATTTGAGTCGCTAATGATGCTGAGGAGCCCTGGTGACACAGTGGTTAAGAGCTCAGCTGCTGTCTGTCATGGATTGTGTCCCCCCAAAATATCTGTCAACTTGGCTGGGCCATGATTCCCAGTATTGTATGATTGTGTACCATTTTGTAATCTTATGTGATTTCCTTATGTGTTGTAAACTCTTATCACTATGATGTAGTAAGATGGATTAGCGACAGGTATACTGATGAGGTCTACTAGATAGTGTCTTAAGCCAATCTCTTTTGAGATATAAAAGAGAGAAGCGAGCAGAGACACATGGGAACCTCATACCACCAAGAAAGCAGTGCCGGAAGCAGAGCGCGTCCTTTGGACCTAGGTTCCTGCGCAGAGAAACTCCCAGACCAAGGGAAGACTGATGACTGATGACACGGACCTTCAGAGCCGACGGAGAAAGCATTCCCCTGGAGCTGATGCCCTGAATTTGGACTTGTAGCCTACTGGACTGTGAGAGAATAAACTGTTTGTTAAAGCCATCCACTTGTGGTATTTCTGTTATAGGAGTACTAGATGACTAAGACAGCTGCTAACCAAAAGCCTGGCAGTTTGAATGCACTAGCCGCTCCTTGGAAACCGTATGGGGCAGTTATACTCTGTCCAGTAGGGTTGCTGTGAGTAGGAATGGCAACAGGTTTGGATTTTTGGGAATGATGCTGAACACAAAGCGAACCGGGATGCAGGAGGCTGGGCGTGAGGATGACGGGTGTGAACTTTTAGGAGGCACCTTCTCTCTTACACCTCACCAAAGAACTTCAAAAACTAAAAATATTTAATGGACATCTTTAGAAGTCCTTCCTGATTCAAGGATTTGCATTGAGAGACAAAATAGCCGTATATATGAGTGGAGAGTACAAGAATAAGAAGTTCAGCTTTGCTAACAAATTTCAAAAATTTCCATGTAACTACTCTGCTATGTATTTGACAGTAACAAAGTGCTCACGCAGCAAGAATAAATGATATGCAGAAGTAGCTTAAGGACCCCATTTTAGACAGAAGGTTCATGCTCTCCCCCTTCCATTCCTTAAAATCAGACTGGAGCCAATTTTTACAAATCAATGCTTCCATCTGGTTCGTTTGGTTCAAACCCGTGCCGAGACTTTGCGTTTCCATCCCGGATAACTGAATCAGAATCTACATTTTAACAAGATCCCCAGTGATTTTGAGAACCACTGTTCTACTAGTGGTTCTCAGAATTAGTCCCTAACCAGCAGGATTAGCATCGCCTGGGAACTTGTTAGAAATGCAAATTCTCAGCACGGGTTTGAACCATAACGAACCAGTTAGAAACACTGCTACAAATGGCCATTGTTTTTTCCTCTGCCCTGCTAAAAGAGACGCAATAAAACGAGTTTTAGTAATTGGCCTCTGAATATGGAGCTGTGGGCAGAATGCTTTCTGAGTGCTTTTCCCAAAGGATTCCATTTCTATAAAACAGGCATGCAATAGATACACTGTTAGTTGATTGGAAAACATCTTCAATAACCAGCAACGTATCTGTTCCAAGGGTTGCCACAAAATCCTCAAGATAGACTTTACTTGAAGGAAACGTGTGCTGTGGCACTTTTTGGGAGAAGCAGCTGAGAAATTTACAGTAATAAAGTATTGCTATTCCCCAAAGCCTAATTTATAGTGCCAGGGTGAAGCTATGTGAACTGTGTGGAATAATAAGCAAAGTGCTATTGAAAGCAGGGAAAAAAAAGTGTTAATGAGCTGTAACTAGCATATTATCTAGCTAGTAAATGTCCATATTTTTTCTGATAAAACACCAAATTCCTCCCTCTCAAACTTTAGTTTTAATGAGAGAACAAAATTACATTACTCACTGAAAAAGTCTCTCTCCACACTTAATCACTACCCTCTAATTTTATCATGTTGTATCTAATTGCTGCTGCTTAATAAAAGTTCTATAGATTTTATCTTTTACACAAAAATCAACTTCACAGCAGTGGGTTTGGTGTTTTTGGTTTTATATCTGCTAAAGCAATAAACAGCATGAAGACAGAATAGTTTGATATTTTAGCTTATAAATCATTGGGGGCCAATATTTTTTTAACACCTGTGTGCCAGACACTGTGCTAGGTGCTTCACAGATGATACTTAATAGCTCACTGTATACGTGCATAAAATTGAGCTCAGCGAGACAGTAATTCAGATTCATGAGGTGACACCTCCTGTGTGTTGGAGCTGGCACATTCAAACATAATTCTGCTTTACAGCTAATGCATGTCATTCATTTTAGTTGAGGACAGAGATTGTATCTCGTTCAGCTCTTGTCTCCCAAGAGCTCAGTGACTGGAACAGAGCAGGGGTGCAATAAACATTTATTAAATAGATGAATATTTCATTCAGAGAAAAATATAAAGGTTGCCTTTGTAAATCTTAGGTTAATTTCTTCCATGGGGAATGTGCTGCCTTTAAACAAGCTGATTTAGTGAAACTAATAGTTAACACAATTAATAAAATAGTGATTTTTTCCCCCATGCAAGTCATCTACTCTCCATCGTTTACTCTGCTTTGATGTTTGCACTATTTATGAGGAGTGGCTGGAAAATGTTACACAACAGGGTACGTACGCAATGATGGCCTGATGGAAACAATTGCCCAAATTGCTGGTCTAAAAGGCAATTTTTCTTTTTCATTTACGGATTTTTGTTGGTGCTGTTCTGAACTGGCAGCAACAGGTTGCTTTGAACCATGTTTCCTTGACAATAATTTATTCTAGATATAATGCCACAAGGGATTGCCCCCCCCCCCCACCTCAGGGGCTGAACCAGGGAAGTAAAATTTCCCAAACTGTACAGAGCTATCCACAGTTGTCATTTCCATTTTGGATTTTTTATTTGGAAAATCTGGGTTTTGCTCAGTGATGTGTTTTTCATGCACACCTTCTGCCAATATTTAGTACAAGTTGGAAGGACTCTCCGTGAACCTTCTGTCCAGACAGAACTAAGGCTGAAGGTTGGTGCCACAGAGAAGCTACCTCTCTGTGACTGTTAGAGGACAGCTGAGGCTGGGGATGAAGTACAGGTAAGGAAAGGACACTTCTCGGCCTTGGTCTGGGGTGTCACAAAAGATCAATATTGTGCAGATACTGATTTTACATGACTAGTTCATCTTTCTAAGACCAAATCAAACTTGATTCATTTCTCGAAAGCTCACTGTGCCCATTAATGCAGAGTCCAGAGAGAAATGCACACAGCCAGCGTGCCTGTCACCTGGTTTCAATGATTTTAAAAAGAAGTCCTAACTTTTACAAATAATTGTGTTCATAGACAGACTTTCAACCTCAAAAAAAAAAAAAAAAAAAAAAAAAACTGGCCTAAAGGAGACTGGAGAAACCCCGAGAGTATGGCCCCCAGACCCTTTTAGCTCAGTGGTGAAAAAAAAAAAAGTAAGGAATTAGTTCATATTGCAGTACTTAGAGACTTCCAATATTGATCTCTGGAAATTCTAATTCGGCCCATTTTCTCCTGTATGTGGCTAGTCCTGAAGCCCTTAACATTACAAGCCAATACTAGAGTCTTTCTGAGAATTGGGGAAGTTAACACAGTCCACTTCTTATTTTTACTCAGGTGCTAGGCTCATGAGGCATTTTAAATCTAAATCCAAAATTACAAACGCTCTTTGCCAACTTTCAAAAGTGAAAAAAAAATTTTTTTTTTTATTGTTAAGTCCAAGTCCATTTACATACTCATGAAAAAGCCACGTTTGAGATTTCTGGAATTCTCAGTCTATGTGCGGGTCACATAAGCCTTTTTTGCTCATTTCACAGTGGGCAGATCTTCACTGAAAGGTAGATTAGATCAAAATCAAATGTGTCCATTTTGTTGTAGGCAACCTGCTGCAGACTGAATTATAAAGACTGAGGCCACAGTTCCAGCTAAAGAAGAGTTTATCTGAAGATTCTAATTATGCTTTCAAAAAAAAACCCTACTATCAGAGGAAGTGAAAACTGTTTATAAAATGATCATATGTCAAGTAAAATATTTTAAATACAGTTGCTCTTAATTGCTAATATAAAAAGTTTCCACCCTTATTTAAAGCAGTTGAATAGAAAAAGTAGGTATCTATTCTTTCTACTCTTCTACGTTTAAAAAAAAATTTTTTTTGTGTGTGTGTTTTGTTTTAAGCATAAATCTCTCTGCTACCACGGTGAGAAAAGCCACCATGTCACTTCCTGGTAAGGACACAGAGCCTCCAAGACCCTCCGCGAGTACCCTAGCAGTGGGCCCCCCTGCAGCTAGGCCAGAATGGTGACCTGCAGCCTGGAAGAGCTTTATTCACCTTTTCCAAATCCAGGTGCTCCTTACTGTGGAGTCTGCCCTGGGCCTCAGGTGAGCTACACGTGGACCAGGTTAAGTTTAAATCTATTTTCAACAAGTCTGAGCTAACTTTTGCCCAAAAATACTGGGACTGCCAGTATCAGATTAGTCAGCAAACCATTCTAGATGGCCAAGGCCTGTGCAGTTGGGTGTTGTTTGTGCACTGCCTTGGGTGGTTCTCTTCCCCTTTCGGCCTCCTTTAGAGGCGCTCTGCATAGGGAGGATTCCGACAGGGTCCCAGGCCCAGAGGCCTCAGGGGTCAGCGGGTTGGTCATTGGTGCCCAGCAGCAGCTTTGCCGCTTGCTTGTCCATGCTGGAGTTGATGCTCTCAGCGTCTTTGGCCTGCGCAGGGACGCAGGTGCAGCCCACCGCCACAGCGACGTACTCCTCGGTGTACACATAGCGGCCGCCGGCGCAGGCCGCAGTGCGGCGCAGGACCACAGTGGGCATGAGCACCGGGACGCTCCGGAAGCGCAGGTCCTCCTCGCTGAAGGGTCCGGTCAGACAGCCTCGGCACAGGCAGTACGCCTCCGGCAGGTACTTGGGATACCTGGTGGGGTCGTAGGAGATTCTGCATAGGAAGAGAACAGAGTTTAGTGCATGCCGTGGGGAGCTGGGCACACACGCTGAGCAGAGACAGCATCTGGACGACTTCTCCTTCTGGAACCTAGAACAGAGAGCGAATGCTTGCTGAGGTCACTGAGGGATCCGCGCAGCGAAGGGCTGGTCTGACGCTTCACCACAGTCTAAGCAGACGCATCAGTAACTTCACTGTATTTTACATGATAAAGGTAGCAGCCATAGCTATCACTTCCTTGAGTCGTTTTTCCATAAAACTACTTTCCAGTCGGCCACAACTATAAAAATAACTTTTACACAGCCCACATGTGCACTGACCATTCACACACGATAGCATATGACGCGACTGCCCGCCTGTGCCCAGGGCAGTGTCCCAGGGGCCCTGGAGCTGCCTCCCCTCATCCCCTCCCTCCTTCCGCAGACACAGGAAGAGCCGGCCAGGCCCCGCAACAGGCGCTGCGCCTGGCCAGGCAACCGCCAGCCAGCTCGCCAACAGTGCTGCCCTGTGCTGTGCCCTGGGGGGCATTGCAAACTCTGGCCACCTGGCCGGCTGACAGAAAGCCACGAGCAGTGTCACACCCACGAGAAAGGCAGCTGCGTGGCACCTGTCCCGAAGTCACACTCTCAAGGTCAGGCCTTCTTTGCTGCAGTTGCACTGGGGGCTGCAGGGCTTGCCAGCCGGGTATGTTTCAGAAGTAAACAATGGCTTAAACGTGGTGTGTTTTTATCCTCCTCCAAGTCTCTCTTCTGGTCAGAGGCCAAGAACCAAGTGTCAGCACCTACAAAACAGCTGCCAGCCCAGGGCCCAGGAGTCTGGAGTTGGGCCAGGACAGATGGTTCCCTGAGAAGGAGCCAGAGCCATCTCAGCAGGACTCTGCCCTCTGATTCTGCCCACCACCCACCTTAAACACAAGGTCAAGAGGCCACCTGCTCTGGCCATCATGGGAACCTAGGGTGGTGGGTGAAGGAGACACCCTGAGAGCCCCTTGCAGAGTGAGGGGTCTTCCTGTTTCTCCTGGGATTGCCATGATCCCAAGTTCCATTTCTAGTCATCTGTACAACCCTCTTATGAACCTGCTTCCCTTTACTCTGGAGCTGAGTCCTAGGATCCTCAACTCTTGGAGTTGCAGGCATGACTTCCTCTCCAGCCTCTCGATCAGCAGGCACACATCTGCAGACCAACAAGGTGCCTAGGAAGGACCTAAAAAGCCTCCACCCACTGTGGGCCCACCAGGAGCCCATGCTCTGAGTAGAAACAAAATGAGCTGTGCTCAGGATTGCTTTACACCCCACAACTGGAGGGACACACACTCCATCACCAGGGTCCACGCTGCAGAGGCACCAGGCAGCGGAGGGGGCTGCAGCCAGGGAAGGCTGTGCAGGGAAGGGCGTCAGCCTTTGTGCAAAAGTTTTATGTCCCCCTGAAGAAAACCCCAACAGACTCATTCTCTCGTAGGTCCTCATTGTTACTGACTCACAAAGCTAAGAGATGGTCATTTAAGAGATATGCCAAGACCACCAGGTTAGAGACCAGGCAGAAGCATGGGCAGGAGGCATCAGAGGGGAAGGAATGGCCTGGGAGAGGGCGAGGCAGCGGGACAGAAGGAAACAGGCTTAATAGTGAGCTGGAAAGCAGAAATGCTGACTGGAGCCAGTTCTGGATGCACAGGGGCAGGGAGGCAGGAACCTGAAGGAATTTCTAGCATGGGAGTACCATGATAAATGATGCTATGTTAGGAAATTATTTCAATGAGTCAAGTATTAACATTAATAGCTTGATGAGGGTATGGCTTTGGAAGTGTAAGGAAGGCACACAATTTTCTTCAGTTTGGGCCCAATATCTTTAGAGAACAGATTGAAGCATTATTATTTCCATTCCACAGCAAATTCAGCCCCAACAGCGTGCTGGGTGCTCAGTGGGAAGGCAGGGCCATAGGAGAGCTGACAGGTGGTGGCTGTGGGGGCACTGTACAGAGAGGACAGGTGAAGGCTGTGAGCATTCTAAACCTGAGGGGTACTGCAAAGTAGTCGCCACTTTTGAATGTTGGGGCTGAGGTCAAAGAAAAACTCAGAGATGATTCCAAGGCCTCTAGTCTGGTGACCGGAAGTATGGGGGCAACACTGAGGGTGGCGCGAAGCCTCAGGCATGGTGACCCTGCCGTAGCTGAGCACTCAGCACGACCCTTCGACCTCCTTCTGCCTGCTGCACCACACAGAAGAGATGTCAGAGCCAAGAGTCAAGGTGGTAAATCTCTGATCTGCAGGCATAGAGGTGACTGTATGCAAAATGCAAACATTGTCTCCAGAGCAAAGGCACTTACATTTACAGTAATTCACTCATGCTTACCTCCCACTTATGCACAAATAATTGGGGGAAAATGTGTGTCTTAAGCTTTTTATCACTACTTTGTCCTCAGTTCTGGAACTGCAGCTTCTGCCCTCAGAAGCTTTGGTAGCATGCCGAGGTTGTCCTTGCCAGCCTGATAGAGCCACATACCCTCACGTCTCCAGCTCCTTCCACTGCCCCCGTGCTGCCTCCACTAGCTGGGGTACATGTCAGGAGAAACCAACTCCTGGGCTTTGCCCTCAAAGGTTCCCCAATTTGGCCCTCACCTGTTTGCCTCCACTGCCTTCTCCTTCATGTAGCCCACACTCCAGTCATCCTGAACGGCTTGTGCTGGTATACTCCCTGCACGCACCACATCCAAGTTTCTGCCTAGATGCCCCTTCAACTCAATAATAATAATAATAATAATAATAATAATAAAAACCAAACCCATTGCCATCGAGTTGATTCCAACTCATAGTGACCTGGTGGCACAGTGGTTAAGAGCTTGGATGCTAACCAAAATGTCAGCAGTTTGAATCCATCAGCCATGGAAACCTTGTGGGGCAGTTCTACTGTGTCCTATAGGGTCACTATGAGTCAACTCAATGAAGTCGTGCCTTATTTTAAGGTCCAAGTCATTATTTAAAAACAAACAACAACAAAATTGCCACTGAGTTGATTCTAACTCATAGCAACTCCACGTGTGTCAGAGTAGAACTGAGCTCCATAGGGTTTTCAATGGCTGATTTTTGGAAGTAGATCGCAAGGCTTTTCTTTTGAGGCACCTCTGGGTGGACTCAAACCTCCAGCCTTTCGGTAAGCAGCTGAGTTTGTGATCTGTTTGCACCACCCAGGATCTTCTTTGTTTTAAGAGTGTTCAGGACTTGCGGGCAACACGGCCTACAGACAGAAGCACCACACTATCGCTCCACAGCAAAGACCCAAAAACCTAAATCAAACAGAGACAAATGTCAATCCTGAAACCCTAAGCATCAAATGAAGAGATAAAGAACTCAGCCAAGCACCGAATGGAGTAAGAAACTGACAGAAAACAGACAGTGAGGAGAGATATGTGCAGAGGTCCCCTATCAGCTAATGCAGCACAGATTTGCCATCTTGGACTCCTGTCAGAGATCAGCAAACAGGCAGTACAGGAAAGTAGCTTTACAGAGCTCCTATCAGGAGACAGAACAACCCAGTAACCAGCAATACACACTTTCTCACCCCCCACCCTTCTTCACCCCGACTCGGCCTCCTCTGCTTCCTACTGACACAGTCTCTTGGCCGTGAGGCACCGGCTTCAGCCCTGTGCCACATGGATTCCATCAACCCACACTGGCTGGCTCCCTGAGTGCCATTTGTTTGTTGCTGGTGTTGCTTTCTTCCGCTTCTTTTGGTTTATTCCACACCTCTTACCACCTCCCCCTCCTTTCACTCAAATACCTGGCTGCGTGTGCCATCTTTGCTTCTTCTTGAAAGGCTGTGAAATGCCACTCGAATGTGGAACTGCTTCCGGCCTTGCGCCGCCATGCTGTTAAGATCCCCAGGGCTTTTCATTTGTTTTAATTTGTTCTGTTTTGATTTGTTTGTTTTCTTCTTTTCTCAGCTTGGGAGCCCCTTCTAGATGGGCTGTACTTGGGAGCTACTTCCTCAGTCTGAGCAGTTGCACGATGGGATCCCCCAGGGGCATTTATTTTTTATTTGTTTTTGTTTTCTTTTCTCTCTTTTTCCTTTTTTGTTTTTCTTCATTACTCAGTTTCTCATCTCTCTATACTTACCTTCTTTTCCTGTCTCCAGAATACCTGGTGCTATGTGACACCTCTACCCCTTCTAGCCAGGCTGTACTTCACGGCCTGGGAGACATACTCAGTCTTTGCAGCCACGCTGCTGGGACCTCTGGGGGCTTTTTCTTTTCCTAATTTTTATTTACTCATTTTTTTCTTTTACACTTTTTCTTTTTCCCCATTTCTCTGTCTCTCATATCTCCATTCCAATGGCAAGTTCCCTTAGCACTCTTTTTTATTTGTTTGTTTTTGGCTCCTGTTTCTCTCTCATTTTTCCCATACCCAACTTAGCTCCACATATCACAATCTCCCCCCTTCTTCCTGCCTACCTGCACCATGTGCTGAACATCACACCCCCAAGCAGCACAGGCATGGCCTACTGGAACCTCCCCTGCACTGATTTCCAGCCCACCCTGTCAGCCCTAGTACATGCTACACACAACCCATCCCAGCAACAACCCTTTAGCTGGACATGACCTGCTGCAACATAGCTGAGAGACTGGCCCTGCCCATTGGACAAGGAGGCGAAAAGTATCATACCCACAGACAAGCAAACAACAAAGAACACACAGCCCGCCTGCTCAGACATAAATAAATAAAACAAAAAAGCAGGATGAAACAAACAAATCTACAATCAATAAATGAGGAAAATAACTACTGAAAGTCCCCAAGACAGCAGACAATATCAAAACATATTAAAAAACAGGACAGCATGGTTCCAGTAGGCATCCAAAACAAAACACCAGATGAATTTCCAGTAGAAGAAAAGGCACTAGAACTACCTGACAGGGAATTCAAATCTCTAATATTCAGAGCTATCCAAGAGTTGAAGCAAAAACCAGACAAAAATGAAGAAAAAATAGACAAATTCATGGAAAAGGCAGACAAATTTATGGAAAATATAGAAAAAAGAAGAATTCAGGAACATAATACAAGAACAAAATGACAAAATAAATTCACAACTAGAAATCCTACAAAAACAACAATTAGAAATCCAAAAGATAAACAACCAGATTTCAGAAATGGACAGTGTCATGGAAGGGCTGAGGAGCAGGTTTGAAACGATGGAAAATAGGATCAGCGAAATTGAAGACAAACATTTCAATACAACTCTGAGGAAAAATCAGAAAAAAGAACAAAGAAAAATGAAGAAACCCTGAGAATACTGTGGGATACAATCAAAAGCAAAAATCTACAAGTGATCAGAGTTCTAGAACGGGGATAAAACAGAAAACACAGAGAAGATCATTGAAGAACTGCTGACAAAAAAACTTCACCAATATCATGAAAGATGAAAAGCTGACCATCCAAAAAGCACAACAAACCCCATACAAGATAGACTCCAAAAGAAAATCACCAAGGCATATCATAATCACACTTGCTAAAACCAAAGACAAACAAAGAATCCTGAGACCAGCTGGAGAAAAAAGAAAAGTCACATACAGAGAAGAAACAAGAAGACTAAGCTCGGATTATTTGGCAGAAACCATGCAGGCAAGAAGGCAATGGGATGACATATATAAAACCTTGAAAGAAAAAAAAATGCCAGCCAAGAATAATATATCCTGCAAAACTCTCACTCAAATATGATGGTGAAATTAGGACATTTCCAGATAAACAGAAATTAAGAGA